AGGGAGGAATAGTGCCCCATCGTTGGTGTCAGTGGGGAGGAGGAATAGTGCCCCATCGTTGGTGTCAGTGGGGAGGAGGAATAGTGCCCCATCGTTGGTGTCAGTGGGGGGGAGGAATAGTGCCCCATCGTTGGTGTCAGTGGGGAGGAGGAATAGTGCCCCATCGTTGGTGTCAGTGGGGAGGAGGAATAGTGCCCCATCGTTGGTGTCAGTGGGGGAGGAATAGTGCCCCATCGTTGGTGTCAGTGGGGGGAGGAATAGTGCCCCATCGTTGGTGTCAGTGGGGGGAGGAATAGTGCCCCATCGTTGGTGTCAGTGGGGGAGGAATAGTGCCCCATCGTTGGTGTCAGTGGGGGGAGGAATAGTGCCCCATCGTTGGTGTCAGTGGGGAGGAGGAATAGTGCCCCATCGTTGGTGTCAGTGGGGGAGGAATAGTGCCCCATCGTTGGTGTCAGTGGGGAGGAGGAATAGTGCCCCATCGTTGGTGTCAGTGGGGAGGAGGAATAGTGCCCCATCGTTGGTGTCAGTGGGGAGGAGGAATAGTGCCCCATCGTTGGTGTCAGTGGGGAGGAGGAATAGTGCCCCATCGTTGGTGTCAGTGGGGAGGAGGAATAGTGCCCCATCGTTGGTGTCAGTGGGGAGGAGGAATAGTGCCCCATCGTTGGTGTCAGTGGGGTGGGGAGGAGGAATAGTGCCCCATCGTTGGTGTCAGTGGGGAGGAGGAATAGTGCCCCATCGTTGGTGTCAGTGGGGAGGAGGAATAGTGCCCCATCGTTGGTGTCAGTGGGGGAGGAGGAATAGTGCCCCATCGTTGGTGTCAGTGGGGAGGAGGAATAGTGCCCCATCGTTGGTGTCAGTGGGGAGGAGGAATAGTGCCCCATCGTTGGTGTCAGTGGGGAGGAGGAATAGTGCCCCATCGTTGGTGTCAGTGGGGAGGAGGAATAGTGCCCCATCGTTGGTGTCAGTGGGGAGGAGGAATAGTGCCCCATCGTTGGTGTCAGTGGGGAGGAGGAATAGTGCCCCATCGTTGGTGTCAGTGGGGAGGAGGAATAGTGCCCCATCGTTGGTGTCAGTGGGGAGGAGGAATAGTGCCCCATCGTTGGTGTCAGTGGGGAGGAGGAATAGTGCCCCATCGTTAGTGTCAGTGGGGGAGAGGAGCGGCTGCTCCTTCTTTCAGTTCGGCAGCTTGATTCTCGCGGGGCCTTTCGGCTCCGCCTCCTCGCCGGTGATTGGTCGCTGTGTGCGCTGGCGCCCAATCACCGGTGAGGAGGCGGAGCCGAGCGGCCGTGCGACCATCGAGCGGCCGAACTGAAAGAAGGAGCAGCGCGCTTCCTGGACCGGATCATTGTGGGACCGGGACCGGAGCCAGGTAAGGTACAGCAGCCCCTCTGCCCCCACCCCTGTACTTAGGACACCGCCCCTGGAAAAAGTGCCGCCCTGACACCGGCTCGCCGTATACCGGCGTATAAGACGAAACCCGACTTTTCAGAAGATTTTCAGGGGTTTGAAAAGTCGTCTTATACGCCGGCAAATACGGTATGTATATATATATATATATATATATATATATATATATATATATATATATATATATATATATATATACATACATACATACACACACACACAGTGGGGATCGAAAGTTTGGGCACCCCAGCTAAAAATTTGTATTAATGTGCATAAAGAAGCCAAGGAAAGATGGAAAAATCTCCACAAGGCATCAAACTACAGATTAGACAGACATTCTTATAATATGTCAATAAAAGTTAGATTTTATTTCCATCATTTACACTTTCAAAATAACAGAAAACAAGACAATGGTGTCTGCAAAAGTTTGGGCACCCTGCAGAATTTATAGCATGCACTGCCCCCTTTGCAAAGCTGAGACCTGCCAGTGTCATGGATTGTTCTCAATCATCGTCTGGGAAGACCAGGTGATGTCAAGCTCAAAGGTTTTAAATGCCCAGACTCATCTGACCTTGCCCCAACAATCAGCACCATGGGTTCTTCTAAGCCAAGCATGTCCAAAGTCCGGCCCGCGGGCCATTTACGGCCCGGGGGTCGGTTTAATACGGCCCTCCAACAGCCCTCCCTGCTCTGTGTAATGTGGCCCTCCCACGGCCCTCCCTTCTATGGCAGACAGTCTTCTGCTTGAGAGCAGAGGGCAGTGCGCATGCCTGACTGCAGCGCGTTCTCCCTGGTCTGTGTAAATGCGGCTGTCGCACGGCCCTCCCTTCTGTGGCAGACAGTCTTCTGCTTGAGAGCAGAGGGCAGTGCGCTTGCCTGACTGCGGCGCGTTCTCCCTGGTCTGTGTAAATGCGGCTGTCGCACGGCCCTCCCTTCTGTGGCAGACAGTCGTTTCTGCTTGAGAGCAGTGCGCATGTGCGTGACGTGCTGCGCCGCGCTGGGAGCGACAGACGGCGGTGACGTCAGGGCCGGGCTTCCAGCATGAAGTGTGTTTCTCTTCCCCTCCCGGCTGCCGAGCAGAGACTTCAGCTCCAGCTACCTTTTTCACCCTTCACATTAGTGCAGGTAAGTTTTTTTTAAATTTCTTTTCAATACATTGTGAAAACTCAGCTGTCAGTTGATCTTAATGTTATGAAATGAAAAGTATGTCGTTTGCAATTAACTTGGCATAAAATAATTTATTTGCATTTAATTGTAATGGTTCAAAGAATGTTCGGAAAAATGTTTGGCCCTCCACCATGTTCACTTCATCCAATCTGGCCCTCTTTGAAAAAAGTTTGGACACCCCTGTTCTAAGCAGTTGACTAGAAAACTGAAACTGAAAATAGTTGACGCTCACAAAGCTGGAGAAGGCTATAAGAAGATAGCAAAGCGGTTTTAGATGTCAATATCCTCTGTTCGGAATGTAATTAAGAAATGGCAGTCATCAGGAACAGTGGAAGTTAAAGCAACATCTGGAAGACCAAGAAAAATATCAGACAGAACAGCTCGCAGGATTGTGAGAAAAACAATTCAAAACCCACGTTTGACTGCACGATCCCTCCAGAAAGATCTGGCAGACACTGGAGTTGTGGTACACTATTCCACTATAAAGAGATACTTGTACAAATATGGTCTTCATTGAAGATTCATCAGAAGAAAACCTCTTCTACGTCCTCACCACAAAAATCATCGTTTGAACTTTGCAAATGAACATATAGACAAGCCTGATGCATTTTGGAAACAAGTTCTGTGGACCGATGAGGTTAAAATGGAACTTTTTGGCCGGAATGAGCAAAGGTACGTTTGGAGAAGAAGGGGCACAGAATTTAATGAAAAGAACCTCTGTCCAACTGTTAAGCATGGGGTTGGATCAATCATGCTTTGGGGTTGTGTTGCAGCCAGTGGCACAGGGAACATCTCACGAGTAGAAGGAAAAATGGATTCAATAAAATTTCAGCAAATTTTGGATGGTAACTTGATGCCATCTGTGAAAAAGCTGAAGTTAAAGAGAGGATGGCTTCTACAAATGGATAATGATCCTAAACACACCTCGAAATCCACGGGGGATTACATCAAGAGGCGTAAACTGAAGGTTTTGCCATGGCCTTCACAATCTCCTGACCTCAACATAATTGAAAACCTATGGATAGACCTTAAAAGAGCAGTGCGTGACAGACAGCCCAGAAATCTCAAAGAACTGGAAGACTTTTGTAAGGAAGAATGGGCAAAGATACCTCAAACAAGAATTGAAAGACTCTTGGCTGGCTACAAAAAGCGTTTACAAGCTGTGATACTTGCCAAAGGGGACAGTACAAGATATTAACTCTGCAGGGTGCCCAAATTTTGCAGACGCCATTTTTTTTGTTTTCAGTTATTTTGAAAGTGTAAATGATGGAAATAAAATCTAACTTTTGTTGACATATTATAAGAATGTCTAATCTGTAATTTGATGCCTTTTGGAGATTTTTCCATCTTTCCTTGGCTTCTTTATGCACATTAATACAAATTTTTAGCTGGGGTGCCCAAATTTTCGATCCCCACTGTATATATATATATATATATATATATATATATATAGTAAGTAAGCTCTAAGGAGCAGGGCCCTCTGTTTGATCTTGTACCAAATTGTATTGTAACTGTGACTACCTTCATTTTGTAAAGCACTGCGCAAACTGTTGGCGGTATGCAAATCATATAACATATTAATATATATATATATATATATATATATATATATATATATATATACACACACACACACACACACACACACACACACACACACACACACACACACACACACACAGTATCTCCCAGAAGTGAGCACACACCTCACATTTTTTAAAATATTTTATTATATAATTTCATGTGGCAACACTGAAGCAATTACACTTTGCTACAATGTAAAGCAGTGAGTGTACAGCTTGTATAACAGGGTAAATTTGCTGTCCCTTCCAAATAACTCAACACACAGCCATTAATGTCTAAACCGCTGGCAACAAAAGTGAGTACACCAGTGAAAATGTACAAATTGGGCCCAATTAGCCATTTTCCCTCCCCGGTGTCATGTGACTCGTTAGTGTTACAAGGTCTCGGGTGTAAATGGGGAGCACAGGTGTATATAGGGAGCAGGTATGTTAAGTTTGGGGTTATCGCTCTCACTCTCTCATACTGGTTACTGGAAGTTCAACATGGCACCTCATGGCAAAGAACTGAGGATCTGAAAAAAGAATTGTTGCTCTACATAATTTTCTGTCATTTCTTCAGTGTTTTCACATGAAAAAATATAATATATAACAATATATATTTACAAAAATGTAAGGGGTGTAGTGTGTGTATATATCCCTCATCCATCTTGTTTTTATCAGATCGGATGCAGGAGGGGTGTAAGCAGTCATGTCAGTTTACATCCTCCTCCCCATAGACAACAATAGGTGGTCTAATCGAGTCTGCCTGAAAAAAAGGACAGACGGACCAGATCAGTCCACCCAGTGAAAGGGCCCTTTGGCTTTAAAGCAAACAGAATGATGTGATTACATTCCGAAACTTACTTGGAAATTGGATTGACGCTTGCTTCGACGATTGTCAAAACTTTACAGTTCTTAATATTTTCTGGAAACTCCTGTATCCCTGCAAAGAAAAAAAATGCCAATATTCATCAACACAAACTTAAAAAAAAATACATTTAATAATCATGATGGACAATTTTACCAGAACACGATGGGATTCATAAAAGTATCTGGACAGAATTCTAAATCCTTTAGCAGATAAGACAATTAACACATAGGTGCTTCAACTGTGTATCTAGTTATTCGTAGGGAGTTCAGCTTTAAAGTAGTAGTAGTAGTAGTAAGACAGCCTCCACATATACACTTGTGTTCAAAAATAATAGTGTGTTGAAAAAAGTGAATAAAGCTCAAAATCCTTCTAATAGCATTTATTTCCATCCACACAATTGCATTGGGAACACTACACATTCTATTCCAAATCAAAAACATGAAGAAAAATATAATCAAATTTGTGTTGTTCCTCTAAAAAAATTGAAGAAAAGTGAATATTAGACTGTTCAAAAAAATAGCAGTGTTTGTATTCTTCTTTACAAACTCAAACATTCACTATATAAACTGAAAAATGTTTGAAGATTTTGCTTTCCTTTGAATCACTTAATGAATATTTTAGTTGTATAAGCACTGTTTCTGAGAACTGCTGTACATCTGTGTTGCATGGAGTCAACCAACTTCTGGCACCTGTGAACAGGTATTCCAGCTCAGGATGATTGGACTACATTCCACAGTTCTTCTCTATTTCTTGGTTTTGCCTCAGAAACTGCATTTTTGATATCACCCCACAAGTTTTCTATTGGATTAAGATCCAGGGATTGGGCTAGCCACTCCATAACGTCAATCTTGTTGGTCGGGAACCAAGATGTTGCACGTTTACTGGTGTTTTTGGGGTCGTTGTCTTGTTGGAACACCCATTTCAAGGGCATTTCCTCTTCAGCATAAGGCAGCATGACCTCTTCAAGTATTCTGATGTATTCAAACTGATCCATGATCCCTGGTATGCGATAAATAGGCCCAACACCATAGCATGAGAAACATCCCCAAATCATGATGCTTGCGCAACCATGCTTCACTGTCCTCACAGTGTACTGTGGCTTGAATTCAGTGTTTGGGGGTCATCTGACAAACTGTCTCCGGCCACTAGACCCAAAAAGAACAATCTTACTTTCATCAGTCCCACAAAATGTTGCGCCATTTCTCTTTAGGCCAGTCAATGTGCTCTTTGGCAAATTGTAACCTCTCCGGCACCTCTTTTTTTTCAACAGTGGGACTTTGTGGGGCTTCTTGCAGATAGCTTGGCTTCACATAGGCGTCTTCTAATTGTTACAGTACTCACAGGTAACTTTACACCTTCTTTGATCTTCCTGGAGCTGATTGTTGGCTGAGTCCTTGCCATTTTGGCTATTCTTCTATCCATTCGAATGGTAGTTTTTTCGCTTTCTTCCACGTCTTTCAGGTTTTGGTTGCCATTTTAAAGCATTTGCGATCATTTTAGCTGAGCAGCCTATAATTTTCTGCACTTCTTTATGTTTTCCCCTCTCCAATCAACTTTTTAGTCAAGGTACGCCGTTCTTCTGAACAATGTCTGGAACGACCCATTTTCCTCAGAATTTCAGAGAGAAATGCACTGTAACCAGCATGTACAACATTTGCTGCCTTCCTTCCCTAAATAAGGGCAATAATTGCCACCTGTTTTTCAAAGAATGAATGACCTCACTAATAGAATTCCACACTGATATTATTTTGAACATGCCCCTTTCAATTAGTGATTCAAGACACAGAATCAGCAGCATGCATGTCATGATGTTGGGTCTGTTGGATTTCTATTACTCTACTAGACCTGCTAGTAAATTATTTGCCATGTAGAAATATCATTTCTACCAAAAACAGTGATTGATCAGGTTAGTGATGTCTGACTGCTATTATTTTGAACACAACTGTACATTGTTGATAACATCAATTAAAGGGTCAGTCCAGCAAAAAGTGATATGAGCCTGTCGGGTTGAGTCAGCCCCTGGCTTCCTACAGGTCTTGGATACTCCAGCAGCAAGAATCTCCCAGCCATAGTACCCAACTCTATTCCAGTCCACCTGGGGAGTTTTGGGCGCTTCTGTTAAACTTTGCAAGTTCCACAGTTTCCCATTACCTTCTCCATAATATAACTTGAATTACAAAAATCCAAAAGGAAAAGTACGAACTCCTGATAATGGTCATATCGGGTATGTAGTGCCAAGATTCAAAGCGCAGATATCTGACCAATACGGTTTCTAGGAGGAACAAGAATCTGTCAAGTGGTGTAAATGTCCAATGTCCACCATAATCTGAAAAATCGATTTTGGACGACCTGACAAAAGTACAAATGTGCCTGCAAAAGCATATTGGGTGGGTCAGGATAAATTATGAAAATAAAGAAGAGTTAAAACGACTCAGTCATTAAAAAAGGTATAAAAGGTAACCCTTAAGTTTGCCATTAAAAAAGTAAGGCTAAAGAGAAGAGGCGGTAGTAAGGAAGTAAAAGAGAAAACAGAGGGAAAACCCTTCCCCCCACATAGCCTGGATAGTAGGGAGACATTAAACTGGTTCATTAGGAATTCTCAATTGTGGTCCTGTGGTTGGATATAGCCAAGCCATGGCTGCCATATGTTTAGGAATTTGGTTCTTGAGCTTTTCATTAATGTGTCCTTCGCTCTATTCAGAAGTCAGCTTTCATCAGTCAACGGAGGTTATAAGACAAGCCATAGTCTATTGCCATCAGTCAGTCTGAGCAGAATGACAGATTTGCACTAAGAAAGAGGACAGCAAAGAACAATTTATGTGGGCTTCCACTAGGACAGGAAGATCAGTCTACCCATGCACTGATCAGGTATCCAGCCAAGCCACCCTAAGTAATAGATTTAATACATTTTTAGCTGTGGATAGAGCTAGAAATGTTAGAACGTCTATAAGGTGTTTATCGTTGATTACCCATGACTGCCTGGCTGTCAGTGCCCAAAGTGGTAGGTATGTCCTCAGCAGGGAAAATCACTGAAGAAAAAAAAAAAAAAAAAAAAAAAAAAAAAAAAAAAAAAAAACTTACCAGAGGTTCCAAACCCCCCACTCTATTAAAGGGAAGTGCTTATATTGCCACCTGAGTCCTCCCTTTTTGTTCTGTTGACCACAGGGTAAGGGAAATTTCCCTGATCGTATCGCAGATAAAACTGGAGATATCTGAAGATGGTGGACGATTCAATTAGTGGCCATTTTTCAAAAACAAATATAGTTTCGGAGTAAACTGACCTGACTTAAAAAGGACAAAGACCACAAGAGCATATACGTCTCCATGGTTTTCAAACCTGGGTATAATTCACTTCCTGATCATTAAAGAAAATATTTTAGTGCTAGTGAGTTTTTAGACGCAAGGTCACATTGACATTAATATTTTCAGCAAGCTTGGAGACTGCATATTAAGAATATTTAGCCATTGTTAAAGCCAACCCTTGGGACTGAGCAGTCAGGAAAGAGGGAGAAATCAAAGACAAGAAACTAGTGTTTAAATCAGTGACTGGCCCCTCAGCAATGTGGATAGGAAATGGGAGACTCAAGCCTACTGTAAGAGGAAGACGAGAACTTCCTCTTCCATTATCATTACTGAAGGTGGAAAATAGGTCACCACTAAACTAACTGGGACTACCACAAAGGGCTGCAGCTATACAAATGAGTTGGCATAGAGGAACTGTAAGCCTCAAACAAATCTGTATTGCGGGGTACTCGGCATTCAGATACATAGGATTCAAAGGGTGGAACCATAGCACGCTGCGGAAGACATAGGCAAGTGACACTCCTGGAAGCTCTGAATGCATAGGACACTGATGGAGGCTGCATCACTGAAATGGAGGGAGAGTAGTAGACAGGGGAGAGAAGAGTATATCTCTTCTACTGCAGGAATCCTTTATCTGTATTTTTGTTAAACGGAAAGAGTGAATTTTAATATTCCAAACTGTTCAGTTGAAATCTTGTCAGCCTAAGTTTTGCTATTCATTTAACGCCATTCAGGCCAAATTATGTCTGTATCCCCACTGGGAAGATTCGCCTACTCAAATTGTCCTGGTTACCACGGTCTACGGGACAGAAAGATCCAAAATTTTTACAGTTGTCACTAGAACAGGAGGAGAGTGGATATCTTCCAATGACAAAACCTGTTCTGGGGACAATTGTCATCTGTGCTAAGGCCAGCAAAGACCATCAATTCAGCACTGCAAGTGAGGGTGCCAAAGGCCTGGACACAAGCCAAATGTCAGAAAGAAGAGGTGATCTCCAACTGCCGAGACAGGGATAAGTTAAGAGATTTTTTACTTATACACTAGGCAAAAAACAAACCCACTGCAAGGATAGTTTTTCATATTCTCAGAGTTCAGCTTTAAGAGGGAGTTTCTGGGGCAGGATGTGAAAAGAAATATCTGCAATAGGCACAAAAACAATAAAAACCCTCAATAGTTAACTATGCTATGAAACATCCCAGAGGCAGAAAATAATTTGAAAACAAATTCAGCCTTCACATCTAAGGACTGGTAGGCTGCCCATAGCAGGTGCCATGGCCTCTGTTATGTGCATGTTCTAGATCGTAAATCACCAAGCAGTGAAAAAAGGCAAATAATTACAGTTTATGATCAAGCATTTTGAAAACAAGTAAGAAATAGCTCCCAACATTTGAATCCTGACAGGCTCTATTAAAATGAACAGATTAACCATAGATGAATAAAAGAAACCCATTGGGCTCACGTTTGGCACTGATATTTATGTGACCTGAACAAACAGCAGATCCAACAACTGTAGACGTGAACCTCTGATATAAAATACAGAACCACATTTAAAACACAGAAATTATATAAAAAAAGTACATTGATTATCTATATGTACCAACAAGAATATAATGGGTGGCAGGGCAAGGGCACACAAAAAACATAACACAGATTTATTACTTCAGTGCTAAAAAATCCAGAAACACAGGACTGAAAGCATCACATCTCACATGTTAAAGATAATAGCATACATACAATAACATAGCTATTTTTATATGTATGTAAACAA